TTCTCAGTGGATGATTTTTCATAAGTAGAACCCACTCATGGTGCCCCATGTGTATCAGAGGAGAACTGTGCTCACAGGGTTCTCAGTGGATGATTTTTCATAAGGAGATCCCACTCATGGTGCCCTGTGTGTGTCAGAGTAGAACTGTGCCCCACAGGGTTCTCAGTGGATGATTTTTCATAAGTAGAACCCACTCATGGCTCCCCGTGTGTGTCAGAGTAGAACTGTGCCCACAGGGTTCTCAGTGGCTGGCTTTTTGGAAGTAGATTGCCAAACCTTTCTTCTAAGGTGGGCTTGAACTTCCCACCTTTCAGCTAGCAGCTGAGCATGTCTGCCATTTGCAACACCAGGGACTTCTGCTGATGTTTACAATCCCCCTGGAAGAAGTCTGGAGAGGGTAACACTACCTTCAAATAACACCAAAGCACCAATGCACTGCCAGAGAGTGGATTAAAGCAAATCTTATAATGTTCCCTAATAAACCCCTCCCTGCCACAGTTGTAAAAGCAGGTTCACACCAATAAGAAGAGCTGCTGCCACCAAATAGCTGGAGCCTTTCAGACACACCACGGAGGTCCGAACGCCGTGTGATGAATCCTTGGAACCCGATACTGGAGGTTTCATGTGTGTGTGTGTGTGTGTGTGTGTGTGTGTGTGTGTGTGTGGTGTGTGCTGTGGGATCCGCCTGGCAGATGTGAAAAGTTATGAAGCCAGGAGTTCAGGATGGCTGGGAGGAATGAGGGCACAGGAGGGCTGCTTCTGAGTAGCTGCCGGCTAAGGATGCAACTGGAGAAAAAGTTAGAGGCAGATTTTGGCTTAAACTGAGAAAAAGTTGCTAAACTGAGAGCTTTTCAGGAAGCAGGCACTGTAGAAGGACTGTGGCCAGCACTGTAAGAGTTCCACAGGTAATGGCCGGTCCCTCCGTGGCCAGGGCTGGGGTCAGTCCTTTGGATGGGAAGGCCTTGTCCAAATGGTGATGCTGTCCAAATGAAACCGGAGGTATTGAGTCTGAAAGTCTATGAAACTTTGACCTTCACGAGTCTGGTTTGGTACATTAAAGTTACAGACGGGGGTGGGGTGGGGTGGGTGTGTGGATGGATAGATGGATAGATAGACAGACAGACAAATAGAATAGAAAAGATAGATAGAATAGAATAAATAGATAGACTATATGAAAGATAGATATAATCAATAGATTAGACTAGATAGAATAAAACGATTAAATAAAATAGGATAGATACATAGATAGATAGAATAGATGATAGATAGAATAAGTAGATTACATAGATATAATAAATAGATTATATAGAATAGATGATAGACTAGATAGAATAAATATATTAGACACCTAGGATAGATAGATAGATAGATAGATAGATAGATAGATAGATAGATAGATAGATAGATGATAGATTAGAGAGGCAGATGGATTAGATAAATAGTAAAACCTATGAAAGCTGAAAACTGCCAGTATTTTCCACTAATAACAAAACCCCAAACCTCACTGTTCTCGAGTCACTTCCGACTCCCAGTGACCTAGTTTAGGGGTGTCAGAGATTGCAAATCTTTATGGGAACACACAGCCCCATCTTCCCAACACGCCAGCAGAGCGGCCGATGGGTTTGCACCAGCAGACTTGTGGTTAGCAGTCTCAGGCTTACCCCGGTGAGCTATCACGCCGCCTTTCCATGATCAGGGATAGAACAGCGGTTAGGACCGTGCCCTGTCAAATGTGGCCAATGTGAGTCGGGAAAACAGAGCAGCCCGGCCATGTTTCCACTCACAGGTTTTGTTTTACACGGGAGGGCTTCAGAAAGTTTATGGTAGAATTTCAGTATCTTTTCATTCCATTTTTATACTAACTTTGGAAGCCCCCTCATATATATATATATATATCCAGTTGTAGACCCCCAACTCACTGCGACCCCGTGTGTGTCAGAGTAGAACTGTGTCCCAGAAGCTTTCAGTGGCTGGTTTCCGGAAGCAGATTGTTACTGAGTGGACATGCACTTTCAACCTTACATCAGCAGCTAAGTGTATGAACCGTCTACACCACCCAGATGCTCTAGTCCCATCCCACAAGCCACATGTGAGAGAGATATGGGAAGAATGTTGTTGTTAAGTGCCGTCTGTTTAGGTTCTGACTCACAGCAACCCTATATATGGTTTCCAAGAAGTGTCTGGTGGGTGTGACCCGCTGATACTGTGGATAGCGGTCCAGTGCTTAACCTACAGTGCCACACCAGGACTCTACTAAGACTATGGTGGTGGTGGTTATGTGCCATGGAGTCGGTTCTGACTCATAGCGGCCCTGTACAGGGTTTCTGAGGCTGTAAATCTTTACAGGAGCAGAACGCCTCATCTTTCTCCCACAGAACAGCTGGTAGTCTCAAACTGTTGACCTTGCTGTTCGCAGCCCAATTTGTAACCACTACGCAACCAGAATATTTATCAATTATTTGCATAATTATGCTCAAAGCCCACTTATTTGGACTTGAAGCTCTAAATAATCAGTAAAAGACTTGCTTCAAGTTGTAAAGAGCAAAGATGTCAGTTTGAGGACTAAGGTGCGCCTGACCCAGGTCATGGTGTTTTCAATAACCTCATATGCATGTGAAAGCTGGACAGTGAATAAGGAGGACCTTAGAAGAACTGATGCCTTTGAGTTGCGGTGTTGGAGGAGAATATTGAAAGTACTGTGGGCTGCTAGAAGAATGAGCTAATCTGTCTCCGCACTCGGCTACTGACTGAATGGTTGGAGGTTTGAATCTACCTAGAGGTGCATCCAAAGAAATGCCTGGAGGTTTACTTCCAAAACCTTAAAACATCATGGAGCGCAGTTCTAGCCTGAAATTGGGGTGGGGGTGCACCAGGGGTCAGGGTGCCACGCTATGGAAGGGCGTTACTGTGCCTTCGATTTAAGGACTTGGTTTCACGCTCGGAGATTATGTCTGTGTCCAGTTCTAAAGACAGCTCGCCTGCGGGTCTCAGGAAGAATCACGCAGGAAGTGTGCACAGGAGGTTTCCTTAGAAACCCAAAACTCATGCAGTGCAGTCTGAGATTCGGGATTCGTGGGCCTCCCACCTCTGCTGTCCCCACCCTCTGCCTCTCCTAGCCCCAGAATGCAGGCAGCTGTCTTCCGGCAGGTGTGCACGAGGGGTCGGGGTTAGACACGGGGTCCACGTTTCCAGTTATTTCTCACTTTAGGAAGGGATGTGAGTGTGGGCTAAGACAGAGGGTACTGGGCTTTGGGGACATGTGGCCAATGACCCTCTCAAATGGCACTTTGGAGAGGCATTCTTAGTGAGTACTGGGTCAAGACTAGTTCAAAGGAAACGGGTCTCAGAGCGGACCCCGAAGAAGCAAAGGGGTGTTGTGGGGGAGGGGTACATAGGTCTCCTTCCAGACCTTTGCCGTGTGACCTCTGACAGACCTCTCCCCACGACCCACACCAAGAGTGCTTTCCACCCCGTTGGTGAAAGGCGCCCCGATTTTTCTGTGAGGAACAAGATAGCAAAGTGGAATGGGTCCTAAACCCCAGCATCCCCATGTGTGTCAGAGCAAAACTGTGCCCACAGGCTGAACTTACAGAAGGAGGCTGCCTGACCTATCGTCTGAGGCACTTCTGGATGAACTTGAACCTCCAACCTTGCGGCTGGGACTAAGTACATTAACCACATGTCCCATCCAGGGTCTCTGAGAAGCATGCAGATGGCCTTCCTATAAGGCAGATGGAAGGCACTCCTGTGGCCTGGTGCATTGAGTGTTGTTGGGCTGCAAGGTCGGTGGTTCAAACCCACCAGTTGCCCAATGGGAGACAGATAAGGCAGTCTGCTGTGTGAAGATTTATCCTGCTGTGGTGGCTTGGGTGTTGCTGTAGGACTTTATACTCCACACACCAGCAGGGTCCCCCATGGTGGGCAGAGTCAGTGGAGCTTCCTGAATAAGAGATCAGTGTTTGCTCTGTGTAGGAGTTTGGACACAGTGCACCATGGCTCAGGGAGCCCTCGGGGACACAGGGCAGTTTAATCCCGGGGAGCTGGAGGGCAACAGCTGTAGGCAGCGGAACTCTGAGCCTGACCCAGCTGTTATCCTGCTCTGATGCTTTGAAGCTGCCCTCAAATAACTGAGGAGTGTCCCTTGTTCCCAAAAGGCCAGCCCTATTCCTGGACACGCAAAGAACTAGATGACAGCGTCCCATCAGACAGTGTGCTTGCTCGTGATGGGGGCTGAAGCTGTGCACTAACTGTGCACCAAGCTTGAGAGAGACCCCACGGGGACTGCAAAACCCCACAGGGACTCCAAGACCCCCACAGAGATGCTGGAGACCCAAAGGGGACCCTGAGGCCCTCACAGAGATGCTGGAGATCCCAAGGGGACCCTGAGGCCCCCACAGAGACTCTGGAGACCCCATGAGGAGCCTGAGGTCCCCACAGACATGCTGGAGACCCCACAGGGACCCTGAGACTCCATGGGGATTCTGGAGAGTCCCACAGGGATGCTGGAAAACTAGAGACCCCAAGGGAACCCCAGAGACCTCACATGATGCTGTGCTCCAAGGACTATTGGTGTGCTTTGTGGACATGAAGGGGCTCAGCAGGCTGTGACAGGGGGATGGGTGAGTCCTACCATCACTCTCACTGTGACTTGGAGATTGCCCCCTACCCACAAGCCACTCCAATGGGAACTTTGGGAGAGGGCACCCACCCATGTGGGCACCCCAGTCCTCAGCTCACTTCCTGTACCAGGACCCCAGGGCTAAGAGTCCATGAAGTACACACTGAACTACAGTGAGCAGCTTCCCAGGGGCCCGCCGTGGCTCAGTGGGGAGCTAGAGGCACCTGTCATTTCGTCACAAAACCCGGGGCTCTGCCGTCTCCATCCTCCTGGCCCCACATACCCCCTGAGTGAACTGTCCACCCAGGACTCGGTGCACCTCCCCAAGCAGGGTCCAGATTACAGGCCCTTTGTCCACCAGATAAAACCAACACTGCCAATGTGATGGGTGTGCAATGAGAGAAAGAGACTGAGAGACACAGAGAGGGAAACAGAGACAGAGAGACTAAGACAGAAAGAGACAAGGAAGTGACTAACTGAGAGAGAGACATATATGGATAGATACAGAAACAGAGAGATAATATATGAGAGAGAGAGACAGAGGGGTAAATGTCATTACTATACAAATAAAAGGAATTGTGGGGTTTATATCGGCAGTATGCCCTTTTTAAATAAATGTCCATCTTTCATCCTAAGACCTTTTTCTCCTAGAAAAGGGCGTGTAGTTCTTCGAATGCTGGCAGCCAGCGTGCGCTGACGTTCGCTCCTAGACAGAATGCCATGCGAGGGCAGAGGGCTTGGTTCCTGGCTGAGGACCGCATGCGGGAAGGGGTCCTGACTAGCAGCCGCTACTCAGCAACCACCAACGCAATGAAGACTGCCTTTGTTTCCATTGTAAGTGACCACGTTGCATGTTTCTGCAAAATCCAACGTGGTGGTCCATGCAGCCATTGGATTGGAAGGCAAACACCAAATGAACAGCGAATGCAACTTTGCTCGATGTTTACAATGTCTAAACACCGAGCACACTGCCACGGATACACAGTGCCACGAGGCAGGCATGCCAGGGCCAGTGGATGGAATGAGAAAGTTAGGTTGGGAAGAGGCCATGCTACCTGGGTGACTGTAGTCCTATCACCTCAGCCAGGAGAAAGTGCTCCTAGACCCATTCATGTTGTACATAACTGCAGGTGCCCGGTCACACCATGGGGATAGGTTCCAGTTAAACAACACTTAAAGGAACTTAAAGCATCCTGGTGGCATGAATGGGTAAGCACTTCACTGCAGACTGAAAGGTCAGTAGTTCGAATCCACCCAGCAACTGCTTGGGAGAAAAGACCAGCTGATCTGCTGCTGTAGAGATGACAGCCTCGGAACCCCTGGGGGGCAACTCGACTCCGTCATTCGGGGTCACTATGAGTCAGAATCCACTGGATGTCACCAACATCACCCACAAAGGGGCTGGGAGGGCGGCACTGGCTCTGAGAAGGCAGTTTGCACCTCCAAAAAGCTGAGCAGTCACCTCAAAGTCTTTCATCAAAGAACCCGTACAAATGCAACAAGTAGAGGGCATTTCTCATGATTCCAGTGATCACAAGTCCACTTCCAAAGACTCCACAGGGCTGACCATGAATCAGCTGCCTCCAGAGGTTAACCAGGAGAGAGGGGGCGCTCAGGTGAGCAGGACCCGGAAGAGAGAGGGGAGCCCAGGTGAGCGGGATCTGGGAGAGAGAGGGGACGCTCAGGTGAGCGGGACCTGGGAGACAGAGGGGCACTCAGGTGAGCAGGACCCAAAGAGGGGGGCGCTCAGGTGAGTAGACTGGTCACATGCACTTGTCTTACCGCAGGTGGGGACGTCCTCCTCCGCAGATGAGGTTTGCTCATCGGTGGACGGCTTCTTCTTCCCCAGCCCGATGATCTTGGTGATCCTCTTGCCGGTTACCTTGGAGACCGTGCCCTTGGCCTCTGCTTTGGAGCTCTTCTTCCTCTTAACTACCAGGTAGGACAACAAGAACCACAAAGTCAGGTTTGGGCTTCTGTGCGGAAAGGATCAAAGTAAAGCAGGAAATCGGACCCAAATCCTCGTGCCCCGTGTGTGTGTACTGCACCCATGATCTGCTAGCTTGGGGCAGAGACACACCAGGACAGCAAGACACCAAGGGGGAGCGGGCTGCTGAAAATACACATGTACAGGCGTATACACATATGCATGCGTATACACATATGCATGTGTGTATATACATGCAATCACATACAACCACACATACACAGCATACACACATATACAATACACATGCATACACAGATACACACATACATGTGCATATATACACACATGCACACACATACATGCATACACACATACAACCATTCACACATGTATATAACCACACATGCATACACAGATACACATACAACCACACATACACATATATACACATATGAACACATGCAACCATGTAAGCACCCATGCACACACATATAAACAGATACACACATACAACCACACATATGCACAAACACATACAACCACATATAAACACATACAACCACATATATACACAAACACACATACAACCACATATATATACAAACACACATACAATCACATATATACACAAACACACATATACACACATACACACTTAACCACATATATACACATAACAACAACATATACACACATGCACACACATACAATAGGGCAGTAAGACACCTGGGGGAGCAAGCCACTGGGAACACACATGTACACACAGGCATACGTTGTCAATACTGCGGGTTCTGTTCCACCACAATAAAATGAGTCATGTGAATTTGGAGGTTTCCCAGTGCATATAAAAGGCATGTTTACACTCTAGCACTCTCTATGAAGTGTGCCCATTGTTGTTAGGTGCCATCAAGTCAGCACTGACTCATAGCAACCCTATGCACACCAGAACAAAACACTGCCCGATCCTGGGCCAACCTCACTATTGTTGTTAACTCGAGCCCGTTGATGCTGCCACCTGGCCAACCCATCTCACTGGGGGTCTTCCTCTTTTTCTCTGACCCTCCACCTTACCAAACATGATATCCTTCTCCAGGGACTGGTTCCTCCTGACAATATGTCTGAAGTATGAGAGATGAAGTTTGGCCATCCTGGCTTCCAAGGAGCACTCTGGCTGCACTTCTTCCAACACAGATCTGTTGGTTCTTTTGGCAGTCCATGGCACTTTCAATGTTCTCCTCCAACACCATAACCGAAATGCATCAATTCTTCTACAGTCTTCCTTATTCACTGTCCAACTTTTACATGCATATGAGGTTATTGAAAATACCATGGCTTGGGTCAGGTGCACCTTAGTCCTCAAGGTGACATCTTTGGTCTTGGACACTTTAAAAAGGTCTTGTGCAGCAGATTTGCCCAGTGCAATACATCATCTGATCTCTTGACTGCTACTTCCATGAGTGTTGATAGTTGATCCAAGAAGAATGAAGTCCCTGATAACTTCAATCTTTTTTTCGTTGATAAGAATGTTGTTTATTGGTCCAGTGGTGAGGAGTTTTGTTTTCTTGACATTGAGATGTAATCCATACCGAAGGCTGTGGTCTTTGATCTTCATCAGTAAATGTTTTAAGTCCTCTTCACTTTCAGCAAGCAAGGTTGTATCATCTGCATATCGCAGGTTGTTAATGAGTCTTCCTCCAATCCTGATGCCACATTTTTCTTCATAGAACCCAGCTTCTCGGATTATTTGCTCAGCATACAGGTTGAATAAGTATGGTGAAAGAATACAACCCTGTCACACACCTTTCCTAATTTTAAACCATTTAGTGTTGCCATGTTCTGTTTGAACAAATGTTTCTTGGTCCATGTACAGATTCCTCATGAGCATAATTAAGTGTTCTAGAATACTCATACTTTGCAATGTTGTCCATAGCTTGCCATGACCCACACAACCTTTTATACTGTTTTAAAAAGGTATTTGCAATGAACAAATCATCGCTCTCGCAAAGTTCCATCATGTGATCTCCACACATTGTTTCCATCAGTTTCTAATGACTGAGCCTTCCTCTTTGTTTCCAACCTTTGCTTTCTAATTTCCAGTAATACTCAATACATCTTGATTGCTTCTTTGATCAATTTCAGACTGAAGAAGAAGGTAGAATTCTTCAATTTCATCATCGCTGGCTTTAGTGGTTGGTGCATAAATTTGAATAATAGTGGTATTAATCGGGCTTCCCTGTAGGCGCATGGATACTATCCTATCACAGACAGTGGTGTACCTCAGGACTGATCTGGATATGTTCCTTTTGTTGATGCAAGATCACTCTTGTTAAAAGTGATCCTTGCAGTGAGCCAAGACTATTTTAAATACACAGATGGCTGGCCTCGTGAACATCCAGACGTGTGTAATTGGTGCTTAGAAGAAGTTAATTTTACATGTGGGTTTTGGGAAGAGAAATAGAAAACTAGAAAGCAGGCCAACCAAGCCACTGCCCCGTGTGCTGGGGCACTGAGATGGCACACACTGGCTGCCTACACAGACTGCGCCGGGACATACAGGTAGCACGTTCTGATGGTGGTAACTTCAGTCTTGCAAACGGAGAGAGGAAACTCCACACTGAGAGAGAGGGTTCGTGATCCTCAGAGCAAACCTCACGCAGGCCAGACATCACAGAGAGCAAGAGTCACACCGGTGCCTATGAAAGCAAGCTTGACACGAGACAGTCGTCTAAGGAGTGTGTCATTTTGTTGTTGTTGTTGTTGTTGTTAGGCACCATCGAGCCAGGCTGTAGCATGATGGAAGGGTCTCACTGTTGTGAGAAGGCCCAGTGTGGGACCGGCATACACCAAGTGAGTACTCACTGCCCGAATGGCCCGAGAGCTTGCTCCAAGTGTGACGGCCACAGATGTTCGCTTCGTAAAGAGAGTGATAGTTGTGGCGTGCAGGTAAGCAAGGTGGGACTGTAATCTCGGCAGAGCTCGGAGCATCTGGGCGCCAGAGCTCTTTGGTGTCAGGTGATTTCATCATAGAGATGTGAGGAGCTGGGAACTGAGTTCTCAGATGATCTCTTTGACAATTCGGGGCCCTAGGGTTAATGACCATGGAGCTTGCAGAGGGAGAGACCCTCTACTCCCCACAAACAGCATCTCTGCCACTCATAGAGTGTTCACGAAACTGAGAAATCCAGACACAGACTGGGAAAAAATATTTGCAGACCCAAAAGACCCCAACCCATGGCTGTGGAATGAATCCTGGTTCCTCTTAGGGTTTCTGAGGCTGTAAATCTTTGCAGAAGCAGACTGTCACAGCGTTCTACTGAGGAGCAGCTGGTGGGCTTGAACTGCCGACCTTGCGATCCAGTGCATTAACCCGCAGCGCCACACCAGGACTCCATCAGTGGAGGGTCAGAGAAAAAGAGGAAGCCCCCCAGCAAGATGGACTGGCATGGTGGTAGAAGCAATGAGCTCCAATTTAAAGACATCTGTGAAGGTGATGTAGCACCGGGCAGTGTTCTGGTCTGTTGTACGTGGGCTCATTAGGAGTCGGAACAGACTCGACAGCCCCTAACAACAACAAGGGCACAGACATTGGCGGGACGCAAGATGAGGACACGCAGGGGCTATCCGGGATCTCTGTGAGCAAAGACCAGAGGGACATCTGTGGAAGTGTGTTCATACCAAGGAAAGCGCTCACAGACCCAAGTTCACGAGCGGGCTGCACTTTCCATTTCATGTGTTAGTTGGCATGTGCCTGGTCCGAGCTGTACCCACCTTGCTCTTTCCCATTGCACACGGTGGTTCCATTTTCTGCGACACCCTCCCCGTCGGAGCTGGGCCTCTCTGAAGACAGTTTCTGTCGGGAGACAAGGATGAAGCTGTTTTTACAAGGGCTGTTTTTGTGGGCTGAGAGGCATCTCACGGATCCGTGACGATCCAGCACCAAAGCCAGAGACCTCGTGCTTGTGTGCCGTCGAGTCGGTTCCAACTCACACCGACCCTGCAGAGGGTTTCTGAGGAGCAGCTGGTGGGTTTGAACCATTGACTTTGTGATTAGTAGCCCACTTATCCTACAGTACCACACCAGGATTCTGAGAGACTTTGTGGGTCTAATTCACAACTACATGGGGACAGTCAGGGTTCCCTGGGGACAGAGGTCAGCTGATGAGGGCATGACCACCACCTTCAAAAACACCCCAAAGGGAAAGGTACATTTCAATAAAGTTACGTTGGCAGATGCCCCAAACCAGTCAATCAGAACCCCATGGACAGCCGCGGCCCCACGGGAAACTGATCAGGGGATGGTGTGACCCTGCATGTGGGTGCCAGGAATCCGGGCCACCCACTGCTGTTACAATGACAACAGACACTGGAAACTTGGCAGAGCGTCCGTGAAACCCAGGTTCATGGGCAGAGGGGCTGAGACAGCCTCAGAAAACAAGGGCTCGAGACCCAGCAGTGGGAGCTGAGTGCAGGAAAGGGGGCACACATGGGGGCGGGGGGGCACGGGGGATCCAATCATAAGGAGCTCCCTTTTGGAAAGCAGCTTCCTAGTCCCATGAATCGACAGCTATAAAGAAAACGTGCTACCCTTTGGCCTTGCGGTTCATTTTCAGACAGCAGAGATGAAGCCCGAATGTAGACCCATGTAGTCAGACAGGCTATTGGAAATGGCTTTTTTAAGGAAAAAACCGGGATTTGGAAGAAGAATTGCACAGGGGCCAGACCTCACTGCTGGTGAGGTGATTCCAACACACAGAGACCCGACAGACACAGGAGGCTGCTGGTGAGGTGATTCCAACACACAG